TGCTGCTGTCTCTGCCTGTCTGCCTGTCTGCCTGTCTGCCTGTCTGCCTGTCTGCCTGTCTGCCTGTCTGCCTGTCTGTCTGTCTGCCTGTCTGCCTGTCTGCCTGTCTGCCTGTCTGCCTGTCTGCCTGTCTGCCTGTCTGCCTGTCTGCCTGTCTGCCTGTCTGTCTGTCTCTGTACAGCCTTGTCTGACTTGTCTGTCTCTGCCCGTTTTCACATGTCGGCCGCATGCACATCACATTCATGCCTACCCGTGTCCATGCAATGTGTGTGTACGTGTGGGCGCCTCTCCCACCTCTCTGTCTCTCTGTCTCTCTGTCCCCTGGACCTGTGTGTGCGTGTGGGGTCTGTCTGTCTGTCGGTCTTTGACTTTCGTTCGGCGCTGGTGCGTCTGTCCACTCAGGCAGATACAGAGAGAGGGGTGCGCTGCCTGGTGGCCGTAGTGGGTTTGTGGATCGCATCGTGTGTTGGGCGGGGCGGTTGTAGGCCGGTCGTCAGCAGCCGGATACCGATCGCAATGCGTCGCAGGGCTGTCTAATGTGATGTGGGCGGTGTGGTGTTTCTGAATAGTGTGTGCGGCTGGCGCGGTGTGTGGGCGGGCCTGCCCGTGTGGTGTCTGTCTGTCTGTGTGGTGTTTATAACAAATCAACATACCGGGGCTGAGTGGAGTGGAGTGGTCCCAGGGGGTGTATTCTAAATTAGGGGCGTAGGGCAGGGTAAGTGTAGCCAGCCTGGTACGACACATAAGCGTTACTACGCACAACATAACACGACACCACACGACACACCACAGACATAGAGAGGGAGCAAAGACAGACAGGTCTGTCCCTCTCGGCATGCGTGTGCGTGTGTGCGTGTGTGCGTGCGAGAGCAAAGAGAATGCATTCAATGCGTCCATCCATCCACCCACCCACCCACACAGAGTGAGTATACACAAGGGTGGGGTGCACTGCACACCATTAATGGTCTTTTTGCTGTCCGTCTCGCCTGTGTGGGTGCTGTGGGTGTGGCTCGCTTGTTTGTGTGTGCGGTGGATGGATGGATGGTTGGGGGGTAGGTAGGATGGGGAGAGAGAGGCCTTTTGGTTAGTCGATCGACATGGTCAGCTGACTGACACTATAATTAATGCATCCATTCACCCCACCGACACCACGAGTGACAGTCAGTGACCGTATGTATCATGTGTGTCAGTGCAGGCCCTGCGTGTGCGTGTGCACTGTGCTGTGTGTGGAGAGACAAGACCGTTCACCCGCTCCGCTCCATCCTTGTCCCATGCAATCATGAATGATATCATTCATATGTCAGCAATGTGTGTATGCCTCCGTGCGTCCGTGACACACACACACACAACTGCACAGGTCTCGACCGACACACTCTCACAGATCCATCCTTCACACGCTTACACGCCCCTACAAGCAGCTTAAAGCCTCAATCAAAATTGGCGAATTCTCTGTCTGTTATCTTCGGCTGATGCCTTCAGCTGTAGCTCTACTGCTATCTACAATCTAAGGTAGTCTCTCCTCCCTCCGCTCCATGCCATGCCGCTCGGCCGGCCGGCCGGGTCAGTCGGTCAATATATTGTGTGCGACCATGACGGGCTTGATGCCTTTGACGCGGCGCTTGGACGCGGGACGGTCTATGTCGTGGATGTCGACGTACTGTCGCTCCGTCCATGTGAAGCCCAAAAAGGAGAATATCTCGGCCTGCTTCACCGGCACGGCAAACACCTCGGGAGACGAGAACAGGTGGAGGTATCTGACGGACATCGACACATCCATCCACACACATCCATCCACACACACACACAAGGGGGCTGTGGATGTGTGTGTTGGTTACCTACCCGCTGTGTCTCTTTCGGATGGCTTCGAGCCAGTTGTAGTAGTCGTCATAATAACGCCCCACAGCCTCCGTCTTGTTGACGGAACTGACACACACATCCACTCAGCCTCCCTCCCACAGACACATCCCCCCCACGCGCATGGTGCAGCTGCTTACGGCGGGTAGTGGGGGAATGTCAGGTCATAGTACGTGAGCGTCAGGCACTCACAGCCATGCGGCAGCGCCACCCACCGCCGCAAATCATCATCACCCGTCGCCATAGCAGGCGCCACATCACCCCCTCCAGCAGCGCCCCTCTCTCTCCCTCCCTGTCTCTCCTTGCCTCGCCCCCTCCCGCCCTTCTTGAAAGTGTGCCATATGTTGCTATTGAGGGGCTCGCCGTGCTTTGGGATCTCGCTGGTCTCGAGGTAGCTGTTGATGCCCCCACGGCGGCGGAGCGCCCGCACCAAGGTGAGGTCCTTGAAGTCGGTGTTGGACTCATCTGGCGCCTGGCAGCACTTGTATGGCTGCCATGGATTCCACCGGGGAGTGGAGCGGAGAAGGGCCTCGACGACCGTGTCGCGGTCACGCTTCAACGCTACTACCTTCAGCTGGCCTACATGGTGGACACATACATACGCACACACATGAGAGTGTGTGTGTGTGGATATATGGATACCTTCAGGTATCAGTGAGAAGTAGGCTTCGAGATACGGCAGGTGAGCGGACCAGACATCGCCCACCACCGATGTGGGTCCATTCATGACCACAAACGGCGGCAGAGACGACCGGTTCACCCGCGGCAGCGTCACCATACCCGTCTCGTCACGCAGCCTCTGCAGCCGCCTCACGACCCCCTCGCAGCCCGTGGGATGGGCATCCCACGACAGCGGCCCCATACCAAAATCCCCCTCATGGGTCACAAGCATGCCGTTGGCCTGGAACAGCTGCGCCAGCGCCTGAGTGCCGCACCGGCCCGTCCCCACACCTATCACCAGCAGCTTCGATGATGGCCACTTGACCTCGTTCTTGTAGGCCGCGCAATTCAGCGGAGATTTCATGTTGGGGAACCGACGCGGTGCAGGGATCATATTGCTCTTGTGGTGGTGGGGCTTCCGGCCGATCTCCACCAGAGAGATCCTCCGGTGGCGGGAGGAGCCCAGCTGCAGCGTCTGGAAGGGCAGAAACCTCATGAAGCGCCATCTGCGGTGCTGCGTGGTGTCGGAAGGGGTGATCTTGCTTCCCAAAGCGTGCGATTTGTGGCCCGCGTGTCGGCTGTGTGGCGGCCCGGGTGGGATGGGGGAGGGACGGGCGCCATAGAGTCTGATGGTCTGCACGGCGCCGTGTCTGTGGACTTTGAGGGCATGGCGGCTGTGCAGATGGCTGTGGTACGTGGCATTGCTGCGGCTGCGGCTTAGAAGCGCCACTCGATACTCCTGCAACACAGAAGAACAAGAGAGCCATGTTTGCAGTGGTTTCTGGCGGTGGGCACTCATCGGTGGTCGCTTGCCATGCGTACCTGTCCTCCTTTGTGGCCCTCGTGCGTCAGATCTGCGGCCCAACACGTGGCGCACCACCATAGGGCGATGACAGCCGCACACGCAGCGCCGCCTGGCATGGATGGCCGGCCTTTAGATCATGCTCGCCACGTACTGCAACCACAGGGACGCGGCACACGCGGAGAGATGAAAGGCGATGAGGGGGTTCAAATCACCAGTTTCGGGTGTGCGCAGGGTTTTTCACGCGGCGAGAATTCGCATCCGAGACGCAACGGTTTTGCAGGATGAAAACAGAACCTCTACTCTGCCGCCATCTTCTGCTCTAACTTTGAGCCAGAGTTCAGGACGGCCCACCTGGACAAACACACATCATTTTCACCGTGAGGGAGAAGGTGAGCATCCGGAGAGAGGCCTGGCCGGCCTGGTGCATGCTGCATCTGATGATCTGAGTGGGAATGGATGGCTGAGACGTGATGGACTGACGAAATAAAAACTGCTGCCGTGTACTGATCAGAGAGTGTCCGTGTGTGTGTTGTGTGTAGATTGCAGGAACGTCCGAATGGGTGGTGGCCATGGCGGCAGCTCCCAACACCAGACTCGCCGTCAAGAAGGTAAAGCACCGCCATCCACGTGCCTGCGCTTGCGGTAAGTCCCCTGTTCTGTGTGGTGGCCTCAGTGCAGAGTCAGTTGAAGAACTGAAGCGTCGGAGGGACTCGGAGGGGGAATGATGAGCATTGCAAGCAGAGAGGAGGGCCCGCAGCGGCTGGCAGTATGCTTCCTCACTCATCGGACGCGTCCAGGGGTACAAACCGAAGGAAAGGTTTTTCCATACGTTTCCCTCTACTCCAAAACCGATTCCAATGGGATTCCCCGTCTACGTCAACCGCACACACTATCAGGGCAGCAACCGATACGTCGACATCTATGCCCACGCCTACCCGTATTTGAGGCCCCAGGAGCCTCGCTGTCATCACCACAACTACGCCTCTCGCCCCGCCTACCGCGCTCCCACGCGACACCACCAGCAGCAGCAGCAGAGGCCCATCGACCATGCCGGCGTGCAGGTGGAGGCGATATCGATGGCCAGTTCGGCGGGACGCTACCTACCGCCACCGGACACCCACAACAGCTACAATGGTCAGGACAACGGATCAGGTGGCGGCCTGTCCGAGGCATCCAGTGCAGCATAATGAGCACACAGACGGCACTCGGACCCCAGAACACGACGCGTGGTGTGTCGCGACACCAGCAGCAGCAGCAGAGGCCCATCGACCATGCCGGTACGATGGGAGGCTTCCCCCATATGTGCAGCACGAGGACAGCCACGGCCGCAGCTGGGATGCAGTGGGCGGCCAGGGTCACGGCTTTGTGTTGCATTGCTAACGGCCTCCTCTCGAGTAGGTAAAGCGGTGGCTTGAGGCGGCCGTCAATACCCATCGCAAAGGTACGATGAAATATGGGGAGCCGCGGGCTTGAGTGACTGTTTCATCTTCTGTTCGCGTGCACCATTGCAGGTTTGAGGGGGCTTTGAGCGAGAATGGCTCAGCGTGAAGTATCGGAGGGCAGCGGAGCGGCCGTGTACACGAAAGACACCACGACCCAATACATATTGAGAGGGCGCCGCTGGGCGCAGATCGTTGCCTGCATTTTATATCAGTGTGATCCTTTGAACCCGCGTGCTGTGCATGGTATGCATGATGGACGATGCTTGCGTCAAAAGCACGATGTGGCAGCCATCAGGAAACCATCACACCCGCACACCCTCGTCACAGACCCATCTCGTCGCAGAGACATGACCGAAAACCGATCACTCACACCCACTCACACGGCTCTCTCTCTCTCTCTCTCTCTCTTCGCCTGTCTCTGTCTGTGTCACACAGCCGCTGACGGACATGGCAGCACAAACATGTCGTGCCTTGTGTGTGTGTGTGTGCGTGCATGCCTTGTTGTGTGTTGGTCTGTGTCGTGTGTTGGTCTGTGTCATTAGGTGACGGTGAGCTAACTATGCGGCAACACCAACCTTCGAGTCTGGAACAAGTGGAGGAACACAACGAGTGACACACTCGAACCCTGCCGGCCGGAGACTTTCGATCGTGAGTGAGAGTCTAGTAGATGGATGTTTCGGCTTCGATAGGCAGGCAATGATAGGTCCTTGGCTGGATGGGTGGGTGGATGGCAGACATGTGTTTGATGTGTGTTCCCATTTGTGGCTGGCCTTTGGTGAGTGAAGTGGCATTTATGTTATGATCATCGCAATTGTCACGTCCGTCCACACACAGACACTTGGCAGCACATCCATCCATCCATCCCAGCACCCGGGCGTGTGTGCAGAGGAAGACAAGAGAGTACATAGGTTGCTCGCGCCTCACAAATATCATATCTATCGGTGTGAGTCGGACGAGCCAGCCAGCCATTTGCAAATGCATCAATCAGATCGCACACACGGGCAATTAAGGCAGGGCAGGCGTAGGGGCAGACAGGCAAACATTCAATTCATCCAGTCTAATCGACACCAAATGCAATGCAAATGCAGTCCACCCAGCCAGCCAGCGATATTCACATACATGCAACCAGAATCGGCAACTTAAAAACGTCGTTTCGCTGACTGACTGACTGACGGACAGCCCATGCAGTGAGTCAGTCAGTCAGTCAGTCGGCCAGACGCCCGCATGCTTGTACTTACCGCACGTACGCATGTTCATCCATCCGCAGCCACAATCACATCAGACAGGATAGGTAGAGGTGAAGACTCTGAGGGGAGAGGGTGACCAGGCCAGCAGCCCAACAGCCGCCAGCCAGCTAGCCTCTGCCATCGCTTGTCGGTTGACCTCACATCCCCCTATCATTTCCCTCCCTCTCGCTCCCCCTCTCTGGCGTGTCTCGTGTGGTGTGGTCAGCTAGTGTCGGTTCTTGCGCCGCTTCTTGGCGTTGGCCTTGCGGTTCTTCTGGTTCTCCTGGTAGGCCATGATGGGCGACAGCGACGGCTTGATGGTCTTGGCCTCCTTCCTCTCCGCCCCACCGTTGTCGGACCCCTGGTGTCCCTTGCCCTTGCCCCCCTGTGTCTTGGGTCGGTGCACCGGCGTGGCTGCCGTGGTGGCGCTGGCGTTGCTCGGCGACCCGCAGTCGTGGTGGTCGGTCAGGTAGTAGTTCTTGATGGAGGTGGGCAGGATGAGCTGAGCAGACGATGACGACTGCGAGCAGCTGAGGGATGCGGCTGTGGATGTGGTGCTGAAGGCCTTTCGGGCTCTATTCGCTTCTTCCATCTCCTTGAGTGCCTGTGCCTCCTTCATGGCACGGGCCATGCGCTTCTCCCACTTCTTCTTGTCCTTGTAGAAACGGCGAATCTCGGACTTGGTCATCAACTCACGAGACCGACGGCCACCTGCATCACATCGCCACACACAGCACGCGAGCGGACGGTTTCCTTGCCATCTCCCTCCGCCTGAGTGGCACTAGGTGTCTTACCTTTCGGCAGGAACGGCACGAACCACAGCAGAGGGTGAAGGAAGCTCCCGAAGAAGCCCAGCCACCCCAGCACCACCTGCACGAGGCTCATCCGCACCACCTCGATGCCCTTATCGTCTCCGATGTCAAACGACTCTGCCGACTCGTCCGACGAATTCCCTCCCTCCTTCTCCTCCATCAGCCAGTCCACAGGGTCAGTCTTCGCCGAGAGCGACGGGGAGACCGGACATTGGCCATCGTCAGGGCCGTCGTCATCGCGCTCTTTAGAGAGCCACCCGACAGGGTCGCCGTGGTCGAAGGATGACCCCTTGGAATTGAGAAATGACACCATGGTACTGTCCAGTGAAGACTTTCTGACGGTCAAAAGCTTTCGGAAAGCCGCTTTGTTTCCGCTTTGCCGCCACAACATTCGATCGCCCCTTGCGAGCTTGGCACCGATCGACGTGCATTCAGGGCATCAATGGCGCTGGCAGGCTGCTCAACGGCTTCACCACTGCCGCCCCCATGTTCGTTCTCCCCCTCCTGCAGCCCCTTCCCTCATCCCACTGCGCCTCGTCGCCTCAATCGGCCTGCGAGGCCGCGGCATGGGCGGCAGATCATCTCTATGCACCGAGCAGGTTCGGCCGATGCTGCTGACGATGGTGGAGATCCCTCATCAGTCGTGAAGCTCTCCAAGCAGCTGCCCGCATGGATGCTTCAATTCACTGCAATGGCGAGTGCTGGCGCCTTGCTCGGGTCGCTGTCGGATGCCTTGTGCCATGGCCGGTATGAGGTCTTGCATTACACTCCAGCGGATCTATCGTTTTTCGGCCTCTCGTCAGCGAGATGGGTACCGCCTTTGTTCGCCCTGGCCGGCGTCATCATCGGCACAGGGCTTCCCTTGCTCGACAGGTGGCTCTTCAAGACGCCCGCAGCCCAACGGACTCGGTCGGCGGTGGTTGGCAACGTCTTGCTCGGTATAGTGTGGTTTGCGGCTGTTTATCTGGTGAGTGGTGTACTGAGTTACTACGGCGTTGATTCTGCTGTTGAGGCGGCTCTGCTGACTCCCCTTGCTGCCCTATCGTGGTGAGACCACGTTGTGCTGTCCACATAGCTATGGTCCACAGTGCTTGTCGTGTGTGCGTTTCTGTGGTTTGTGTGCAGGGCTGTCTTTGAGGCCACGCCGGCAGGGCTGGTCATGTCATTTGCCACAGCAGCAGGAGGGCCGTTGATTGAGGTGGGCCTCGTCAACTGGACAGACCTGTACGCCTACAGCCGTCCAGATGTGCTGGGTGTCCCGGTGTGGCTGCCGCTTGTCTATTTCTGCGGCGGTCCCGCCGTGGGTAATCTGGGGCGAGCAGTGGCGCAGAAGCTGGGGCTGATGGATGGGAGTTGACAAAGCAGGCTGAAGTGCGTGAGACGACATTCGCTCGTGCGTGTCAAGCGAGGTTAAGTGTACAGTCAACAGACCTATTGACTACTAGACATCAAGACATCACGACGTCATTGCGACTCAGTCAATGGACCTATCGACGTCACACACCAGCGACACACCTCTGCTGTCTGCACATAGATCGGACCAGCGTCAGCCCATCAATCCATGCAGTGCATTCGCGGCTAGCATGGCGGCTTCGGAGGTCGGAGGGGTCTCTCTGCCAGGTGAGAGAAAGGTGGGCTGTTGGGCACGGTCTTCAACGGTGCGTGGGCTACGATAACGTGACATGGGTGGGCGACACCAGTGCCGTGTGAACAATACTGCTCGCTCTTGTCTCTCTGGATGGTCTGCACAGACGCAAAGGCAAACACAGACCATCTATCCAGCTTGCTGGCTCTCTCTCTCCGTCTTGCCTCTCTCTTTGTATCACTGTGTCTGTATGTCTGTCTGTATGTCTCACATATTCGCACCGCCCCACAGGTGAGTTATACGCCAGCGCCAGCCCAGCGCCGAAGACAATACAATCGTACACCGGCGCCCGCACGCTCTCCTGAGACGCCAGCTGCCCTTGTGGGAAGGGGTGAGGCACATCTGACGGAAGCTCCTCAAACCAGAACCAGCACGGGTAGTTATCCACGTAATATGTGCTGTTGATCGGCGATGATGGGCCGGGGATGGCGCAGAGAGGATTGTTGCTCCGAGAGACCAGGACCTCTGTGTTTGCAACAACGGCAGGAGGGTGGGGAGACATCGACTTCAGAAATTCGGTGGGCGGGATGAATGTCTTCGACTTGAGGCAGGCGCAAAACAACAAACTGAATTCATGAATGCGGGTATTTTGATGTGCATGACCAGCATGTGACGCACCTGAATTGTCAGATTGCCCTTTGTCCACTCCACAGCCACACCACTGGCATCAGCTCTCCTCCCTTTCACCTCAAGAATGGACGCATTCGCTGGATGGCGGGCAGCACGAAAATGCGCCCCTAGAACTGGAGAGACCAGACAGAGGAAGCCAAAGCAGCGAATCGGGATGATCTGCATCATTGCAGCAAGGATGAATGAATGTAGCGGATAGATGGACGCCTCTGGTGAGTGAGACAATCTCAACAAAGGCGGCGGCGACAGTGCAGGTCGGATGGGCTCACCGAGGGCTTCCTTGGGCAGCCTGCAGCATAGTGCCGCTGATGGACATCGTCCTTCTTCAACTGAAGAAGTTCACCAACTCCGACTCGGAGACTCGCCCCCACTTCGCCCCCAACTAACCGCAACGCATGGTGGTTCAGCGGCTGTCCCCTCGCCCGGGGGACATATACAAGCAGGGCAGCCCCGCGCCATCGGGGTGAAAACGGACTGGCATTTTTTCTCCGAAACCCAGGGGTAGCCAAGGGAAACCTCGGTGAGCCGGACTCGCCGCCCTGGTCTCTGCCTCGTTTTTGCAGGGCTGCTAGACCGTTTCCATGGATGCATTTTCATGCGTTCATAGGAGACGCTTGATGAATGAATGAATGAATGAATGAAGACTCGCCCCCACTTCGCCCCCAACTAACCGCAACGCATGGTGGTTCAGCGGCTATCAGCGGCATCTGGGTAAGCCAGGGACGAGCCTGCAGTATGACTCTATGTATGCCATTGGGAGGCGGCCCTTGCTGCTGAGAGAAGCCCCGCCGCAGCCACCACCCCTGAGGACCAAGCACAGAGAAGCATCCGCACCGCAACCACCGCCGGCCACGGCAGCATCGAGACGCAGAGAGCCACGGGGATGCAATGCGGAAGGGTGGGTAGCGAATCCCGACCGCTACTTCCGCCCTCCCGCTGATGTGCCGCATCATAGGCGTGCGATGAGGAGGGGCCCCACGGGGAGGGGGAGGGGGAAGAAGAGGAAAAGGGCCGTGCCATCGAGAAGGAGAGACGTCGACCTGCTGAGAGAAGTGCTTGCACGGGAGCAGAGAAACGGTGAGATGGGGCAGCGAAGAAAGCAAACGCGCCAGAGCCACGCCCCCGGATCTGTTGTGTTGCAGTTTCATCTCTGGAGGAGTTTCGTCCATTGTGTCGGCACATTCTCCACAATACAGACCGGCGAATCTTCAGGGCGCCTGAGACAGGGGGGAGAGGCTACTTCCTCGTCGACCCTCACCTGGGCCCGATCGTCGTGGCTGACAGATTCCAAGAGGCAATCAAGTACGTATGCACATTAAGGCATGCAACAGAAACATGGCAACATGACATTCGTCTCTGTCCGCAGTGAGTTTGGCCCGCAGGGAGTGTCGGTGCCAAGACCTCCATCGCCAAGAAGACGGAGAGACTCACCAAGCAGCAGCCCCAGGCGCGTCGCTCCTGGAGGACCTCACAGCCTGGCACCCACAGCCGCGCTGGAGGCGGCAAGGAAGGTGGACAAGACGTGCTGCGCTTGGCATCGGGAGAGGGAGACACGTGGCAGCGTGTGTTGCGTTCCAGTGGGGCGGGGGGCGTCGATGGACTCGGACAAGGCCATGGTGAAGGTCAATGAGGCGCACCAGCTGCGGCAGCAGCAGCATCAGGAGAGACACGCCAGGTACGCTGATGCCAACACAGGCCGTGGGTGGCTGCTTCGTGTTTGTCTGCAAACAGAGAGAGCTTCTCGTGTGTCTGTCTGTATGACGTGACATGCAGACCACCGGTGCCCATGTCCACACCCTCCGCTGCGCATGTCTGCAGACACCAACCAACAGCAGACAAGGCAAGCCCACGCCGGGCGCTGGCCTCACCAAGGAGAGGTGCCTCACGTGGGGGACACACTGCTGCGGGCCGGGCCGCTGCTGAGTGGGTGGACGTTCAGGCGCCAAAGCGTCGTGTGGATGGCGACCCTGTGAGTGCGGGTGGGGGTGTGGTGACGCCTGTGCGAAGGAAGCACAGGCGAAGGAAGTCGTGCATCTGTTAGGCAGTGTGGATTTGTTTGTGGTGTGACTGACTGACGACCTGAGCCATACATGAGCCATTCATTAGTGCATCGATTGGTCAGGTGTGTTCGCTCGCACAGACACCCCACGCCCATCCATTCACCGTCTGTCTGCCTGTCGTCTGTCGGCTTTGGCTGGTCACTCAGCCGTACCGACGGAATGCACACACACACCCCACCCCCTCTCCCCTCACGTGCCACGAGAAGCAAAACTCACGCACACACCATGTAGCCAGCCAATCATTCAACAACATCCCGTTCCACCATGTCCCTCCGCGGCCCTTGTCGCCTGTCAAATGGCCTGCTTGCCACCGCTCTCCTGTCGTCAGCCATAGGCTGTTGCCTCCTCTGCTGCTGATATGGCCTCTGCTGCTGATGTGGCCTCTGTTGCTGCTGTGGCCTCTGCTGTTGATACGGCCTTTGCTGCTGGAATTGCCTCTGCTGCTGTGCACGCGTCTGGGGCTGTTGCCTCTGCTGCTGCCGCGTCTGTTGCTGCTGCTGTGGCCGCCTGACGACCTCCTCGTCCCCACGAGCTTCTTCTCCCTTGTCGCCCTGCTCCACCTTCTTCACCTCTCTCTGCTGCCTCTGTTGCTGCCTCTGCTGCCCCTCAGCGTGCCGTCTGATCTTCTCGACATGTTTGTCCACCAGCACCTTGAGCTTCTTGGCCGCACCCGCCACGTCCCACTCCTCGCGCCCCTCACCCTCACCCTCAGCCTCTGCGCCCTCTGCCTCTGTTGTCGGTGCCGCAGTCGGTGCGTATGCGTCGAAGAGCGTGTTGACGACCAGCAGTGGGTTGTAGCCCTGGACCTTCCACACCCGGTGGCGCATGGCAATCTCGCCCAGGACGTTCTTGCTGACCAGGTGGTAGGGGCTGTTGGGAGTCGGGTCGATGACCACACGCGACTCGTCCAGCACGAAGGGCTTCAGGTACAGACCGTTGGCGCAAGGCACGTCCGTCTGGTAGTGCAGCTTCAGGTGGGTCAGCATGTCGGCGTACGGCGGGCTAGTGGGGGGGGACCGATGGTCCTGCTGCTGCTGCTGTTGCTGGGCGAGGCCGCCTCTGACGCTCTCCCATGCCCGCCTGCAGGTGCCCTCGATGAACGACTTCCACTGCTTGGTGTCCTGTGTGCCTTCGAGCATGCCCATGATGGCCGCGGCCTTGAGACCCTCGTAGAGGTACGCCAGCTCCTCCTCGCCGAACTCGTCCGCCTCCTGCGCCAGCCGCCGGAAAATGTCCCGCCACACGCCCTCTCTCTCGGCGTCCATCAGCGCCAGACCCCACACAAGGGTCGGCATGCTCACCAACGGCACCCTGGCCACCTTGACATCCAGCTGGTACGCCTCGAGCAGCTCGTGCGGCCGGTACCCCACCACAGCCATCGCCACAATCACCTCGGAGAAGGCCCGTGGCGTCAAAGTGCCTTTCCTGGCCGCCGTCATAGCTGCCTGCCGCACCGCACTGTAGGTCTCCTCCTCACGAGCAACCGACACGAACGTCAGGGCGAGTCGCGCCAACAGGTCGGCATGGTTGGTGAGGGCGCCGATCAGCATGCCGTGTGTGACCGCCTTCTCCAGTGAGCTCATGAGGGCGGACGAGACGGCCGTGTCGGGTAGTGCTGCATACTGCAGCAGCAGACGGGCCAGGATGGTCGTGGGCGGCAGGGAGGGGGAGCTCTGGAGGCCTTGCGTGAGGGTGGGCGCGATGGCGTCCAGGAAGAATGAGTCGACGTGGTCTTCGAGCGTCGTGGTGATCCTCGCCAGCGCGTCAAGGGGCACCTGGTTGGCCTTGGTCAGCTCCGTCACACGGTCCGTGACGGCCTTGACCATCTCGCCCCGCGACGTTGCGCCCTCGTCCTCATGGCTCGACCCGGCCATCACTGCGATCCCTTCGGCCACGTTGACGAGGCCAGGGACAGACACCGACTTGATGTCGCTTGTGAGGTGCTTGAGCAGCCCCTCCACCAGCTGCGCGGCGCCAGGGAGCGTCGAGTAGAGCTGCAGCAGCCTCAGTTGGTCGTCTGCCCCCATGTCTGGCAGGCGGGCGTGGATGAAGTCGATGAGCGCGGGGTTGGTGAAGAAGGTCACTCTGCGCCTCATCGACGGGTGGGCGAAGTAGTGCAGCAGACGGCTGAGCCTCGACGGCTGACGCATGTACTGCATCGCCTCGCTCTTGTCCTCAGGGACGGTGCTCAGAGACGGCCGCATGAGGGGCACAGGAAGAGTCGCGTCAGGCTGAGAGTCGGCGGACATCGGCTGCTCGATCATCCTCCGCAGATGACCACCCGGGGGGGAGGTGGAGGTGATGGCGGTAACGAGGGGGTTCATTCGAGCGTTGAGAGCGTAGAAGAAGAATCTGTCCAGGTCCACCTTGAGGGGCACCGCCAGCAGATAAGACAGCTCCGCCACCTGCAGCGCACTCATGCGATGGAACGAGCCCAGCAGCCGATCACCCAGAGGGCTCCAGCTCCCCCCTCCGCCAGGGTGGTGGGGCCTCAGCAGCTGCAAGCACCGGATGAGCGAGTCGAGGTCGCCGTCCTTGAGTGCGCCCAGCTGCCCCACCAGCTTGGCCACCAGATCTTGGAAAGGCTTGTACTCGGTGACCTCGTCGATGGGCGTCCGCACATGTACCCTCCCCAGCTGCTTGAGGGTCTCTATCGCCTCGTGTGGCCGCTGCAGACTCCGCCTGTAGGCGCCGAAGATGCTCTCCACCTCCTCAACAGACCACACGCGGCCGCCCTTGTGCAAGGGCGGAGTAGGGAATGAAGCGGACAGAGGAGATGCGGCGCTGGCGAAGCATCGACGCCCATGACAGAAGGAGTACAACGGCACCCGCATCGACGCACTCATGCTGGGGGAGAAAGCAAGCGATCTCAGCTGCGAGATAAGCTTGCAAGTGGCGATCCCTTTCAGGGTGGCAGATCTGATGAAAGCAGCCTGCATCTGCGCATGAAGAGGGTGCCCTGGTCATGCCCATGTCGTTGCCAATTCCACAAGCGCCACTCATTCGCCGATCTGTGATCCACCCCTTGCGCAGCGTCTCCTCTCTGGCTGCACAGCCTGCAGCAGCATCACAGCCCTTCATACGGCGCCGCGGGCCTCTGCTCAACCCCATCCCCCCGCCTGTGCAGCACGAGCCGCTGGTCAGGCAGCCCACAGCAGACATGCTCATGGCTCAGTCGTGCGGCAGGATCCATGAATTGCCGCCCAAGGAACTGGCAAGAGTGGCGAAATTGGCCGTCAAACGCGGTGGGCACCCCTGGTGGATGATTTGACTGATGAGGCGAGGGCGTCCTTGAACTGCTGGTGTGCGTGTGTGTGTGTGTGTGCGTGCACGGGTGAGTGCAGGCAACTTTGACAAGGAGGTGTGGGAGGCGATATCTGCTCGAGCGCTGCGGACAGCTGACCAGTTCGATGCGCCCGACGTTGCACTGCTGTTGAGAGCGTATTCCTATCGGCGTCTGCTCGACTTCAACCTCTTCACGAAGCTCGCCAACCGACTGATGGCTCTGGTAATGGTATACGAAGGATGCACACACTATGTGAGCCGCGGTGGGGGTGCGTGTGGCGGTCTGTCTGCAGCTTGACGAGGATCCTCACCTGGAGCTGTCTGCCATGGACCTCACACGCATCATCTACTCGGCCGGCATATTCCAGTTCGCAGACAGGTAAATGCGGACGGTCGTGGTGGTCTCCACCGCATTGCATTGCAGCACCCACGGTGGATGGGACGGACAAGCGGGCATATCACTGTCTGTGTGCCGCCTCTCTCTCTCTCTCTCTCTCTGTGTGTGTGTGTGTGTGTGTGTGTGCGTCAGTCGTTTGTTTCATCGTCTGGTGCCGAAGATCTACGAGAGGCGAACGGACTTCCGACCAAAAGACCTCGCCGACATCGCACACGCATTCGCAAAGACGTAAGCATCTCAGGCCTGTCTGGGTCCATGAATGAAATGATGGGGGTCCATATTGTGGGACGGACAAGTGGGCAAAAGTCGCTCTTTCTCTCTCTCTCCATGTGAATGCTATGCTATGCAGGCATGTGGTCAACCACGACCTCTTCTACTTTGTGGCACGTGAGCGATGAACGGGCGGGCGGGCGGCCAAGGGACCCACCAAGTGGAGCGATGATGTGATGTTGTGTGTGGTGTGCTGTCTGTCTGTCGTGTGCTTCAGATGCGCTGCCTCCGTATTTCCGGGACCTGACACCACCGAAGCTGGCCAACGTATGCACCGCATTCGCCGGGTGGGGAACCACCCACCAATGAAAACAGAGAGACACACCGCGTCAGTCAATGGACGTGCAGAAATGGCTGGATGTTATGGACGGGCGCTATGCTATGTGCGTCTGTCTACGTGGCTGGTCCATCAGGTTGAGCCTGTACGAGAGAAGTTTCTTCGATGCCCTCACGCGGCATGTGCAGGGGCGGCTGCGGCAGTTCGGCGCTGTGGAGCTCAAGAACTTCTTCGTGGGGCTCGCACAGATCCATAAACAGCTGTAAGTGCGGTGCGCACACTGGCGCCAATTACATATATGCTGTCTGCCATGCCATGCACGAGGGTGGGTGTCTGTCTGTCTGTCTGTCTGTGTCTGGGTGGGTGTGTGTGCAGTGCATGCAGCCGTCGGGGTGAGGTGCGTGACGACCGGCAGCTGATCGACGGCATCATCCGGGGCTTCAGGAGCATCATGGGACCGCTCAGCTTCAAATCATACCTCCAGGTAGGTGAGACGGACGGACGGACGGCTGTAAGTAACGCACACGGCGTTGGTCTGTGCGTGTTTACAAATGTGTGAACGTGTGTCAGATCCTGCGCGGGTTAATGATGCTGAATCACTTCGACGCTAAATTCCTGCACCACCACCTCATACCGGCTCTCTCCTCCCGCAGACACAGGCAGCGAGCTGACGACATCACTTTCTACGATTTCGCCCTCCTACTGTCCCTGCTGGCCCGTCTGCCGCGCTCATCCTGGACTGCGGGTGCCGCACAGCTGGCGCAAGACGTAGTCAGCGACCTGCCCAGGAAGATCAGATTCGACAGGTCGGTGAAAGCTTGAGAGGGTGAGAGGGTCATGGCTGGAGGGCCCAGCCATCGCGGGTGCGACGATTGCTGTATGAATGTCTGGCAGGGACGCGATTGTCATGACGATTGGAGCGCTGCGCAAGGTGAGTGAGGGCAGACATGAGGGGGTGGTGGGGGTGGCTGAATGGTGGATGGGTGGGTGTGGTGGTGTGGATTGCATGTTGTGTGTGTGTGTTGTCTGTGCAGCTGGACATCTATGACACGGAGGTCTTCTCAAAGGTAACGGACCGACGCAGCCTTCCAACACGGGCCTGGCACTCAGCTCCCATCTTGTTTGTGCGTGGACCGAGTCCTGTCATTCACATGACATTCAGTGTGAGGGGCTCATCCTCAAGAACCGCAAGGCCTTCATGCGAGTAGGCCACTTCACCACACACGCGGCGGTCGACGTGCACGTCAGTCACGTGCACTGCACTCCCTCATGTGTGTCTGTCCACAGGGGCTGAGATACGACCGTCTGACCGTCCTGCAGGCAGCATACGAAGCTATCGGTGTGTGAGTCCACAACAAACAGCACAGAATAGACCAGACAAGCTTATCGACCATCCATCTCATATACCCTGACGCATCCATCCATCCGTCTATCTATGTGTGTGTGTATGTTATGTGTGCAGCCCAGCGTGACGCACCCCCTCCGGACAGCCCCGACATGACCCCCGACGACAACCCATGGCGCGACATTCATCGATTCCTCACATGGAACCTAGATGGACGGCAACCCAGAAAGGCGGCACACCTGCACCAGGTCCCACACCCCGAGCAGCAGCCGCAAGGCGCCTCCTCTGCTTCCCCACTGCGGACTGGCGAAGTGTTTGTGCACACCTACAGTGCGGAGGAAGGTTTCCAGACCAGGACGGTGGATCTGCTTCACTCAGGTGGTGAGGCTGAGCATGATCTGCAGCACATGTTTGGGAGGCGAGATGGCGAGGGGGGAGGGAAGACGGGCTCGGTGTACTTTCCCGAAATAGAGCTAATGGACCTGAGTGCTGAGGAGGGGCGTGATAGTGGCAGTGGGTCAGATGAGATAAAAGGGGAGGGAGAGGGAGAGGGAGAGGGAGCAGATGAGGCGGCGATAGAGGAGGAGTTGGTTGAGCAGGAAGAGACAACAGAGCAGAAGAGAGACACCGAACGAGACAGCACGAGCTGACGGGTCTGCTCGTTGTTAAAACCTCGCAATCTCGCCAATCGATCCGTCGTGCCAATCCCCCCCCCCCCGCGTCACTCAGACCGCCTCACAGCCATTCATTCATCCATCGCCACTCTACCGCCGTACGTCGGCATGTCGCTCTCTGCCACTGCAGGAGGCAAGGTACTGATGGTCGCCGCGTTTGACTTCCCTCCGCCCCTTGTGTCAACCAACTGGACTGCCTCACTGCCGCCCCTGACCGTCCAGGAGGGCCAAATGATCCAAGTACACGACACCATCGGCTTCTCTTCAGGTGATGATGAAGCCGTGTGGCTCAAGGCGAATGTCTATGAGGAGAGAGAACGAGGTGGTGGGGGCCATGGCATGAGTGGAGACACTGCTGGCCTCATCCCCGCCTCCTATGCGTTGCCATTACACGACTACATCCGACTACACACCGCCCTCACACGGGACCTCGAAGGAGACGGAGAGCCCCCAGCAGAAGCACTGGCAGACGCTGAAGATGGCAATGGCGAAAAGGGGCGAGCCAACACGTTCAACAACTCCCTGGGGTCCCCTGTAGCGTCTAGCCTGCCACCTGACTCCGATATATCCAACGACAATCTGGCCGACAGAACGATTGGGACGCAAGCGGTGAATGGAGACGGCAAAGATGGAGACGGCACTCTTTCAGCTGGTGGGGCGTGTCGAAAAGGTGAATCTGCGCCAGATTCAGGAGCACGAAAGCACCAGGTGAGCGGTATAAGGTAGTAGATCGCATCTCTTGGGGCCCCAACACGGGAGCTCGCATTTCTTCGTTTCCAGAGCGAAAGCCACAAGGCAGAGCCTCGCCTTCAGCCAGCACAACAGCAGAGCGCCAGCACAGCAAAGGCCACCGTCTCCGCAGCCAAGCCCCGCCCCCGCCCGCCCCTTAACCTTCCCTCTCTGCTTCTCTCAACGAGCATGGCGGTGCCCCTGGATCAGACGGCGGGCAGCCCGTCCACCAAGTCCCGCCTGGCGGTGCTGCAGGACCGGTTCAGCGGGTTCGAGAAGCAGCTTGAGGCTGAGACGAAGCAGCGGAGGGAGACGGAAGAGAGCCGACTGACCACGCTCAAGGAAGGGATTGCAAAGCTTGAGAAGACCCTCAACGCCGAGATCAAAAGGAGAGTCGAGTCAAACAAGGCCATGCAACAGGTAGGTCTGTGTGTGTCTGTGTGTGTGTGGCAGACAGACAGTCACAGACAGACAGGCGGACACACACTCAGACGGGGACTGGATGTTTGTCTGTCTGCTTGTTTGTTGGCTGCTGACTGACGCAGCTGTTTGAAAGCCAGCTTAAGGCGGTGGAGGACCAGCTGCGGTCGGTCATATCAGAGAGGACGGATGCGCTGCACCGGTCCATCGAAGAGCTGGGCAACAGGGTCACCACCGTCGAGAGGGACCTCACCGAAGAGAAGGAAAAGTACGACAGCGCCGTGCAGCAGCAGAACTCCACGGTGGCAAAGGACCTCGCTGATCTGAAGGTAGGTAGGTATGCTGTGCTGCACACACACACACACACACACACGCACACACACATGCAGAGGTGTGTTTGGATTGGTTTGTCCGGCACTCGATCGTCAGAACGTCTTTGAGAGCGAGCGGTCATCGCGTCAGGAGAGGGAGGCGGTCTTTGCCAAGAGGATAGGGGACCTCGAGTACAACACCGAGGCACAGATGGACCAAGACAAAGTCAGTACCAACGAGAGAAGAAACGACGAGACGCAGACCAGACACCCCTCCACACATTTAAGTATTTGTGTGTCTCTCTCTCCTCGCTCTGCTCCCTGGTGCGTCCGCCATCTGCAGAGTGTGCGGGAGCAGCACTATCACACACTGAGAGAGGCCCTCAAGGATGTCAAGAAGGACCGACTCAAGGGCGACGAAAAGTTCCAAAACTTTGTGCTGGAGGAGATGTCGGCACTTAGAAACTCTATGGTCGTCGAAAGCCAGGTGAGGTGGGTCCGGTGGTGGAGTTAGTTCTGCGACTGTGAGGCTTTAAAAAGGGGTTTGTGTGTGGGTGCAGACGCGCGAGTCTGCCGACGACGAGATAGTGGGTGCGCTGAATTCGTATACGAAGGCACTGCAAGACGCCCTCAGGATCGTCAACCAAAGCTGACGACCACCGTGTCATGCTGTCTTGTCTGTCTTGTGTTGTGCCGTGTTGGTAGAGACATTGCTATGCTGGTCTCTCTGTGCCCGCGTCCATGTCGACTTTTGTGTGTGCATGTCTACGTGTCCTTCTCGTTGTGGGATACACAGACAGCGCTGCGCTGAGCGGGTGATATAATCCATGTATGTGCCATCGAATCGATCCGTCCATCCACACACACACACACACACAAACATCTACAGAGTCACACAGGCCGTCCGTATACACACACAACACACATGGCTATGCTATCCCTCCCACCCAAGCACGCCCACCCCATTCGTCATGCTCTCCCCCTCGTCTTGCCCCTCTATCACCGGCGGCAGCTGGTGATGGTGGGATGACACAGCCACCTTGTTGCTGCTGCTGCTGCCTCCGCCGTTGTCACTGGGCCGCTCCGCATGCTGCTGCTGCGTCACCGCCGGCTGGGAGGGAGGGGGAGCGGTGACGGATGGTGCATCCGTATTCTGATGTGTAATCGAGGGGCGGGAGGCGAGGGCGGGGGCCGAGGGGTCCAGGTCAGAGTGCAGCGACACTGCAGGCAGGGGACATTGAAAGGCATTTTGATGGCTCTGCAGGAGTGTGTGTGTGTGGGGGGGGGGGGG